GCTCTGCTGGACTATATGTCTGGTTTCGTCCCAATCCCATGCTGTCTTGATATCCTAGCTTTTCATAGTTGAAATCAGCAAGTGTGATGCCTTGGAATTGTGTTCTCAATTTCCTTTGGGGTGTTACTTTCATATCCTGCAATTTTACTGAAATTATTAGTTCTAACGTCTTTTTGTGTGAAGTCTTCAACGTCTTCTACATATGTGATATGTCCTCTGTGAAGGGAGATATTTTATTTCTTCCATTCCAATTAGGATGCATTTATTTCATTTTCTTGCCTTATGTTTCTGGCCAGAACTTTCAATATTATATTGAATGGAAGGGGAAAGCATGCATCCTGAACTTGTTGGCATTTTTTCCAAACAAGCTTTCAAGCTGTCACCAAGAAGTATGATGTTAGCTGTGAATTTTCATGCAATATCTTTGTTGAGGTAGTTTCCTTCTAGTCCAATTTTGTTAACTGTTATTCTTTTGCCTTCATAAGATGGTGCTGAATCTTTTTAGATACTTCTTCTGCTTTAGCAGAGATGATCATATTCCCCCTCTACTTCAGTCTGCTAATGTGGTATACTGATTGATGGTCACATATTGAACTGCACTTGCTAGTTCTGTGAGCATTCTGCACCAGGATTCATAAAGGATAATGATCTAGAATTTTCTTCTCCTGTCAAGTCTGTGTCTGGCTTTGGTACCCAGTTATTGCTGGCCTCCCAGAATGCATAAGGTGTGTTCTCACTTCTTTGGATTTTGGAAAAGTTAGAAAAAGAAAGCTGGCAATGTTTATTTAAACATTTGATAGACTTCTCTAGTGAAATCATCTATTTCAGAACCATCCATCTGGTTCATTTTTGGTGTTCTGACTCAGAACTTTTTATTGGAAAGTTGTTTTGGATCACTGATTTAACTTCCTTGTGAGTTTTATGTGTATTCTAGTTTTTTAGGATTTCTCAAGATTTAGTCTTTAGAAAGTGGTGTGTTTCTTGGAATTTCACATTTACTACCAGTCATTCAATTTTTTGGCATATACTTTTTCAGAGTTTTCTCTAATGATACATTTTTTTTTGAGTCAGGGTCTCAATATGTTGAACATGATGACATTAAACTCCTGGGCTCAAGTGATCTGTCTTAGATTCCTGAGTATCTATGACTACAACCATCCCCACTGTGCACAGCTAAATGTTTTATGAATGTAAAATAGATAGTAATATTCTTACTTTCATTCTGATTTTAGTAATCTGAGTTTTCCTTTTTTATACGTCCAGATAAAGGACTTTCAATTTTGTTGATCTTTTTGAAAAACCAATTTTGGTGCACTGGATTTGGAAGTTGCTTCATTTATATACATACTCACTATGCACTTAAGAGACATGAGATTTTTTTTTCTTTATTGGTTGTTCAAAACATTACAAAGCTCTTGACATATCATATTTCATACATTAGATTCAAGTGGGTTATGAACTCCCATTTTAACCTCAAATACAGATTGCAGAATCACATCAGTTATACATCCACATTTTTATATAATGCCATATTAGTGAATGTTGTATTCTGAGACATGAGATTTTAAAAATATTAGGCTCCAACAAAATTCTACTATGAAATTTGGCAGAATATTAACAGACTGATTTGTTCTTATATGTCATCATAAAAAATGGAATAGCAAATCATAGCATGGAATCTTCAAAATACAAATCAAAGCCCTTTGTAAACATTTATGGGCTAGAGATTGCGGTACTATAGCTACACATTGAAATGGAATAAATTATCAATTGCTTTAAATCTGCTCTCCAGGTATGCTTTGAAATGAATGACTCAATATATATTTATTGGATTTCTTCTTTCACATCATTTGTTGACATTTTAACAATTCCTGATGAAAAGGTTAAAAGCACAATGCACAATGGAGCAAGCAGTGCTTCCACAGAAAATGGAAAGTTCCTTTTCTCTTTGAGATGCAGGGTGAGATTTTTGTCTGCTATAAAATTTGTTGTGCCTATGTGGTCATGACAACAGGCCACAATCTTCTGGGCCCTAAAATAGAGCCCAAATTCCACTGTCTTGCTATTGAACCCACTAAGAAAAAGCAGAAAAGGGGCTCTGATGTGTAATAAAAATTTCATTGAATGTTGGAGTTCACACTCTTTTTCCTATAGAGGATGATTTGCATGAATCTGAAATATATTATATGCATTTGCAAATTAGCTTTATCTTTATTCAAATAATATAGTTTTTAAAAACTAATGTGTTTGACCTTTATTACGCTAGATCAACTTTCCACAAATTTCATATTCATTTACTTGTTAATTGAATTGATATTCATTCCCTAAGAGTGCCCTGGAAATGCTGGGTTACAATATAGTTAAAAATGACAATGGGAACACCAGGTGCGGTAGTACATATTTGTAATCCCAGAAGCTCAGGAGGTTGAGGCAGGAGGATGGAGAGTTTGAGCCAGCCTCAGCAAAACAGAGATGCTAAGTTACTCAGTGAGACCCTGACTCTGAATAAAATACAAAATAGGGCTGGGGAAGTGGCTCAGGGGTTGAATAAACCTGAGTTTAATTCCCATTACCCACCTCCCCCCAAAAAATCATAAAAATGAGAAAAGGTACTTGTTAATGGTTATTTAGTATTTGGCTTCTAACATATTTTGATTCTCATTATTTAATAACATGCAATGATCTATATATTCATGTCTTCTAACATTAAGCATTATCTCATTTCTATCTATTATAAAGAATTTTAATTTACCTTGCTCACATTTCTGTATGGGGATGTAATATATTGTTTTTAATTTTTTATTTATTCTAAATAGTTACACATAACGGTAGAATGCATTTTGACACATCATACATAGATGGACTAAAACTTCTTATTCCTCTGGTTGTACCTGACCAGAGTTACACTAGACATGTACTCATATATGCACATAGGGTAATAATGTTGCTGTTTTTAACAGACTTCATTTGTTGAAGAAGTTATAGGTACACAACAAAATTGGGTAGAGATTTCCCATATATCTCCTGGACACAATAGGTTCCTGGTTATCAACATCCCCCACTAAAGTGATATATTTTTTACAATGGATAAGCACACATTGACTATTTTTTATCATCCAATGCATATGCATATATATAACATATATAAATATATATCTGATATATATATCATATATATATATACACACAGTTTTTAATTGTAGATGAGCAATACCTTTATTTATTTATTTATTTTGATGTGGTGCTGAGGATCAAACCCAGTGCCTCACACTTTCAAGGCAAGGGCTCTGCCACTGAGTCACAATCCCAGCCCCCAATGCCTATATTTTATATTAGATTTTATTTTTGCTATCCAACATTCAATGGGTATGATGATATGTATCCATTATCATTGTATCCTACAAAATAGTTTAACTGCCCTAAAAATCCTGTGCCTCACAGATTTATTCCTCCCCCTGCCCAATCCCTGGAAACCACTGATCCTTTCCTTGTCCCCATACTTTTGCCTTTGACAGAATGTCATATATCAGGCAACATATACCATGTATCTGTTCACATTTTTACATACAGCTTGGATGTATTTGGAGATTTTTATATCACATTTAATCCAAGTACCTTGTGAATTAACTAGTGAAAATTAGACTTCATGACTGATAAAATTCTGTATTTCTTTTGTTGTTCCTAATTTTACATTGATTTATGAATTTATGAGGTAATTTCTAACCGTTTTGTAAATAATGAAGTACTATTGTCAAGAAGATGAGAAACATTTAACAGCTCATGTATCAGTTTTTTATACTAACTGAAGCATAAGTGATTGTTATCAGTTTACTTCAAGGGTTAACGTCAGTGGGCCACAGGGGTCTCACATATTCAGAAAATTTGATTTGGGGTGTGATTGTGAAGTTGTTTTGGAAGAGAGAAATATGTGACTCAGTAGACTAAGTAAAGCAGATTGTCCTGCCCATCAGGAGTGGCCTCATCCAATCAGTTGAAGGCTTGGATAGAGCAAAACACTGAGTAAGGGTGAACTGCTCTGCTCCTGCCCAACTGACTTTGAGCCATGACAGTGGGTTTTATCTGCCTTCAGTTGTGAACTGGAACATCACTTCCTGGGTATCAACCAACTACCTTCTCATCTCATCCACACTATTGGCTTTCTTGTGTTCAGGCCTTTAGGACAGGCTGGAATTCCATTATAGGCTCTCCTGAGACACCAGATTGCTGAAGACGGATCTTGGGACTCATCATCTTTCAAGATCACATGAACCAGTCCAGAGTCTGTTTCCCTTCCTACAGGTACAGACCATAGTGTCCCAGGGATACAGAATTGCCAGCTCTGGGCAAGGCCTTCTCTTCTGGGAATATGCCCCATAGCCAGAGGCACCATCCTCCTCCCTCCCTCACAGACAGGACAGTTCTTACAGGCACCTTGCACCTCACAGGGTGCAAATTCAACATGTCTGGAGACAGCCCATCTGTGTGTTGCTACAGCCCCCTACCATGCACCCAGGTGACCAACTCAAGCAATCACAGTGGGAAACCTACTTGTCAATTCAAATTATGTCCCAATCCTGGACGGAGGGTCTTCTGGTAAACAATGGCAACTCCTACTTCAATGCACCTTTCATATTCCCTAGTGATTTCTATGGGTTGTGCCCCATAGAGGCACTCCCTAAATAGACCAGCTTTCCTTTGCCCCTCTACCTCAAGATTAGGGCAGGCGACTGAGCCTGCCTATGAGTCAGGATAAAAACCAAATGCAGAGCAAACATCATGGAATTCAACCCACAAAGTTGATCTGCTTTTACCTTTTCTTGATTTCACTGCGTGCATGCCGCAGACATCCAGAAACCAACCACCTCTTTGTCAATCACTAGCTGTTCAAAAGGAAGAGTCCAAGTGGGGATAGAATCCAGCAGTTCCACAGGTTGCTCTGAAGTCAGCCCTAGGGAAAAGACCAAACTGCTCAGGAATGTCAACTAACTCTGCGTCTCCTGAGAGTAGGTTTCTGCACAAGCCTTTTCATTTATTACCCGCCCTTCCCATTACAGCATTTCTCCAACATCACCTAAGGCATCATGCATATTTTGTATTTCAGGGATATTTTTTATTCTTCAGATACAGGGGCATTTTCAACTAATAGCAAGGGAGTAATTGCCCTTTGAATGAAAGCTCTCTTGGTCAAAGCCCTACCAGTCACCACTAGGAGGTGCTCACAGGTTTTTGCACAAGCCCCCATTTACACTTTTCCCAGCACTATGATATAAAGGTTCTGTCCATTCCAGTACTTCAGCTTCTAGCCTATGTTCTTTTTTAAAAAAATTAATTGATTTTACTTTTTTAAACACACGACAGCGGAATGCATTACAATTCTTATTACACTTATAGAGCACAATATTTCATATCTTTGTATATAAAGTATGTTCATACCAATTCATGTCTTTGTTCATGTACTTTGTTTTTTTGTATTACAATTCTTATTACACATATAGACTACAATTTTTCATATGTCTATTTTTATATAAAGTATGTTGACACCAA